GGTATTTCCGGAAATACAGGAAGTGATGAAACAGACCTATTTTTGGGCCTGCGAAGGCTGCAGAGGCTTTCCTCAAGCCTCTGGGAGGCAGGAAAAAGGCCTCAAATGGGCCGAAAATCAACTGGGAGGTGCATGCCTATGTAGTGAGGTAAGTTTGCCAAGGGCTCCCGTGCCTGCACACATGGCTCTGCGTGCCACCTCTGGCATGTGTGCCGTAGGTTCACCATCACGGCCCTATACCATGACTGTGTCGGGTTTTATCGTTTAAAAGTGAAACCTAGAAGCTGCAGTGGTTAACCTTTTCACAAGGCATTCATGTAGCCCTAAGTTATTTGCTGTGAGAGAAAAAAGTCACAGCATCATTCATTAAAGAACCATATTTGTGATAATTTCTGAAAATGGCACGAAGAATGTTAGGGATAACATTGTTTACCCTAACTGGTTTGGGTAAAAATAATAAATATGGTATCATGGTTTGTTAGTTAAAGTGTGTGTAACTTTAACAGCAAGAATGTAATTAAGGGTGTGGTTGTAAAAGCACTATATAAGAAGCGAGGCAATTGCAGCTCGCTCTCTCTGGCTTACTGATCCCTAATTACTGGATGGATTGATGACTGCGTTCTTGCTGGAACGAGGAGAGAAAAAGGAGTGTTGATTTTCTCAACGGAGAGAAGATAAAGATTGGACTGATTTATTGTAAGTGAACTGACATTGGCTATTCAACAGGGACTTTGCAAATAGAGTATCCCCGACAAGACTTGACTGAAATTGATATATGACTAATGGACCGTTTATTTGACTATGCTATAATTCTTAAATGGAATAAACTATATTTTTGATAGCACAAGCGTATCTGTATTTTTACTGCGTGTTAACTAGAAAACTTATCTCACACATTTACCTGTCTTCCTATCTGACTTCGCTGTACATTCTGTTTAGTTTGTTTTCCTTAACACCCGTTGGGGAATCCAGGCTTAACAAAGACGTCTCTACAAATATTATTTGACTAGCTCGATCCCCGTGCTTCGCTACGAAACTATGTGATCGGGCTTAGTTTTTAGGGAGGAAAAAAAAGGGGGGGGGGATTCTGCCTGCCTACCAGCATCCATCGGTATTCATCTGGCTAACGTTCTGTCAGTGTGTGAGAGAGTTGAGGGCTGTTTGGAAACAGTATTTGCTGTGTGAGCAAGAAGGAGACAGCAAGAAGCCTGGGCGTGGCTTAGCTCAACTGTCCTGTACTAAAAAGCTGCTTGGTGCTCTGAAACTGAAACTGAAATTCCTCTGCTTGTGTTTTGCATTTGGAACAAATTTCTTTTCTGGTAGAGTGGGGGAGTAGAACTCCTTAGCATCAGAGCGTGTTAATAATAATAATATAGGAAATACTAATAGCTCTGATGGTCATTTGGAAAAAATCCTTTCTTAGTGAGCACCTAGGAGCCAAGAGGGACATACGAGCCAAATTTCAAGTTTGTAGGCTTTACGGTTCTGGAGATTTTGTGATGATTTGTGAGTGGTCTTTCGCAGAGATAGAGAGAGAGAAAGAGAGAGAGAGAGAGATTAGATAGATAGATAGATAGATAGAGAGATAGATAGATAGATAAATAGATAGATGATAGATAGATAGATGATAGATAGATAGATAGTTATGGATAGATAGATAGATGATAGAGAGAAAGAGAGAGACATAGATAGATAGATAGATAGATAGATAGATAGATAGATAGATAGATAGATGATAGAGAGAGAGAGAGAGAGAGAGAGAGAGAAAGAGAGAGAGAGAGAGAGAGAGAGAGAGAGAGATATTAACAGATTCACTTCCCAATTTAATTCTGGAGACTCTTTGCATTCATTTTCTACAAGGTAAACCTGTTTTGTCTTTCTTCACCTTTATTGTCATTGGATCTATTGATTGAGGAGGCTGCTAATTAGCCTTGTGGGCTAAATGAAGTCCCCCCTATTCTAGGCATGGTGTCTCTGAAGCATCCTCTTAGGGGTACAAACAGAAGGAGAACGCTGTCGCCTTTCTGCAGGTAGTCCTCCACTTACAATTGAGCCCCAAATTTCTCTTGCGAAGCGAGACATGGGTTAAGCGAGCTTTGCCCCATGTGACGACCTTCCTTGCCACCGTTGTTAAACGAAGCAGTGCAGGTGTTCAGTGAGTCGCACGATTGGAAATTGAATCTGGCTTCCCCATGGACTTTGCTTGTCAGAAGGTCATTCAAAAGTGATCCCATGATCCCAGGGCACCACAACCGTCATAAATATGAGTCAATTCTCACAGGTGGTCGGAGAGGGGAGGAGCGAAGTTGCCAGGCAACCGGACGGCACTGTGATTGGATCCTGTGACTGATTGTTTGGGGAAGGGGGAAAACTTTGAGGTGAAAACCACGGGAATCTTCAGTCGGTTTTCACCAGCCTGTGCCAATATAATAGACCCAATAAAACTCCTTTGAGGAACTCACCTGCCTCGGAGTTCTGTTTGCGACGGGGTTTATTACTTGGAACCCTGACACTTTCTTTATTTCTCTCTCTCTCTCTCTTTCTTTTTCTCTTTGGAAGGATCTGCTCATGTCCTTTAGCGATGGAGACCAGGACGTCTTCTTTGAACTGTGGGAAGAGCGCATCCCTTCCTCCATCCGAGAGCAAGAAGCCGTGGCTCAGAAGCTAGAGTTCTACCTTCACATCCACTTCGCCATCTACCTGCTGAAGCACGCCGTGGGGAAGCCGGTAAATGTCCTTCTTTAAATAATCCTCTTCCTTTAATGACCCCATAATCCCTTGCCGGGTGGAGTCTGGGCAACTGAATGGAGCTAGCAGAAGTGTTTGAGTGGCCGGATGCTCTCCCTGTTGCCAAGGTGGAGTTTTGTTCAGAGAGAGAGAAATATCTGCCTCTACCTAGGATTGAACTCACAGCCTCCTCCTGATTGTGAGGCGAGAGCTCCACCTCTAGGCCATTTGCACCACTCCAGATTGTCTTCTCTAAATCACCTGTCCTAAATTCTTTTGTTGAAAGGAGCAACTGGGAATCGGTTTTATGACGGTTCCGGTGTCCCTGGGGGTCATGCGATCCCCTTTTGTGACCCCTTGAGAAGCACTTCGGCACTGTGTGATTCACTTAACAAACTGCAGGGATCCACTTACAACGGTGGCAAGGAAGGTCGTAAAAAGGAGCAAGTTCACCTAACAAATGTTTCACAGTATTGGGCTGAGTAGGTGGTCGTAAGTTTGGGACCACCTGTATTATCCTGAAAATTATCGGTAGTTCTCCACCGACGACCCAGAATTTCCGGTGCTAAGCAGAGTGTTATTACATGCATTTCGCCCCACTGTACAATCTTTTTTTTTTGCCACCGTTGTTAAGTGAATCCTTGCAGTTGTTCAGCTACTCATCACAGCTGTAAGGTGAATCTGGCTTCTCCACGGGCTTTGTTTGTCGGAAGGTCACAAAAAGGAATCAAGTGACCCCGGGACACTGTGACCGTCGTAAATCCGAGCCAGTTGCCAAGCCTCTGAATTTTGATGCAGTGGGGAATGCTACAACGGTCATAAGAGTGAAAACCAGCCATAACTCCCCTTTTCAGTGCTGTTGCAGCATTTAATTGTCATTAAACAGAGGATTGTAAGTTGTGGACCAACCGTAACTGCTCCTTTTCCCAAGAAATGACAGCCAAACCTCTCCTCTCAAAATTAGATGCTTGAAAAAGACTTTTATTGCCTTAAAATCTGTAGAGATTCTCAGCCTTCCAGGCCATGGTTGTCCCAAAGGTGCCTTTTTCAGGAGGCAACTGGATTTTTTTGTTTTTTCTTTGAAGACGTTTTGCTTCTCATCCAAGAAGCTTCTTCAGCTCTGACTGAATGGTGGGGAACAGAAGGATTTATATTCCTTGAAGAGAGCTGGTCATTTGCATCCTTCTAGAGCAGGGGTGTCAAACTCAATTTCACTGAGGACCACATCAGGGCTATGGTTGACCTTGGGGGGCTGGGCGGGCATGGCCGACTGGGTGGGTGTGGCCAGCTTGACACCACTCACTGGGCGTGGGTGACTAAGTATCATGCCCCTGTAGGAATCTGAATCTGAGGAGGAAGGTGAACAGCCGACAGGGAGTGGGAGTGTGGCTCCCTTGGCTGTGGAGGAAATTGGGGAAGGAGAAAGTCCGGCTGGGCAGAGCAGGGGAGAGGTAGAACAAGGGAGGGGGAATTCAGAGGAAGACCCAGGCCCATCCCCTCTTCAACCTAGGGCACACAGGGAGGAACAGAGAAGGGAGCAACGTGGGTTGTGTGCTTACGGGGGAGGAAAGGGCCCTGATTCCCTTCATTAGCCACAGCTGGGAAGGGAGTTTAAAAGAGGTGCATGCTGCGTGTGGCAGCTGCTGGGAGCAAACGTGAGTTTATCTTGTGTTGACTTTGCTTATCTGCGTTCCTGGAATCCTCCTTACCGGGTTGATTTACTGCCGTTCCTTCACCTCTGGAATTCCCTCTCCTGCCCTGCCGGACTAGTTACCTCATTTTGCTTTGATTGGACTTACAGTTACAGTTTTTGTTGACCACGTTTTGGCCTTGAATCTCTGCAGCCAAAGACTGAGTTCCCGGGAGATTTTTTCTCCAGCCCGGAAGGTAACCAGGACATTGGGGGCAAAATTGGAGCTAATAAAGGGACTCCTATGGGTTATCTGACTGTGTTGCCTTTGTGTCACGCCCCTTTGGGTCATCATCCTAGGTGGGCATGGCCAGCTCGATGCCACTCCCCAAACTGCTGGCATGTTTCCTCTTCGCACTGGGTAGACCAGGCCAAAGTGACATGGGCCAGCCCCTTACATTGTCCAGGAGGGCCCCGTGGGCCGGATCCGACCACATCACGGGCCCGGATTTGGCCCAAGGGCCTTGTGTTTGACACCCCTGTTCTAGAGGGTCCTTGAGGCTGCCTGGAGGTTTACCTGGGTTCACCTGAGTGGGACTCCTGGTTCCTGTAGCCTGCAATTTTTCTCTCTGGAAAGCCATTCCTTACTCCCACACCGTTCGAAGGGTGTTCATCCCAAATTGTATAGCTAAAATCTGTGGAGATGCTCAGTCATCCAGGTCCCGGTTCTCCCAAAAGGGCTTTTTTTTTTTTTCACCTGGACTTTCTGGGTTTTTTTTTCTCTTTTATTGCCTAGTGCCTCCATTCTAGCATGTGGGTCTATTTTTTTATTTTATTTTATTTTAATTGCGAAGCTTTGTTCCATCTCTCTGGCCCAAAGGCCTTAATGAAAGTTTGATTTGATTTGAGCACCGTTCCATCACGGCCTAGCCCAGAAGCCGGCCTTGCTCCGTCTTCCTCTCTACCACTCCCTTGGGTGCTCCGTCCTCTGTGTGCATCTCTTCAAAGTAGGAAATGAGAAACGTCTGTTTTCTGTTCAGCAGCTTAGCATTGTTCACAATTCACGTCCGGTTTCTTTAATTTCTTTCCACCGCTGCTCGCCTGCAAACTTCAGATGCTGAACTATATTTTGATTTTAAGGCTGCCTGCTGGCATGTGGGAGGCAATAGGTCTTGATCCAGCCATCGTTTGGTGCATTGGGGTATTATTATTATTGTTATTTTTAAAGTACGTGTAGCCCTCCCCCTACAACAGTTCATTTAGTGACCGCTCAAAGTTAACAACGGCACCGGAAAAAAAGAGACTTAGAATAGAATGAACAGAATAGAATTCAATTATTGGCCAAGTGTGATTGGGCACACAAGGAATTTGACTTGGTGCAAGTGCTCTCAGTGTCCATAAAAGAAAAGAGACATTCATCAAGAATCAGGAATCATCAGGTAGTACACTTAAAGATAGTCATAGGGTACAATAAGCAATCAAATCATACTAGGAAACAGGCCAATAGGATATTGGAATAAAGAATAGAATAGAATTATTTTATTGGCCAAGTGTGATTGGGCACACAAGGAATTTGACTTGGTGCAAATGCTCTTAGTGTACATAAAAGAAAAGAGACGTTCGTCAAGAGTCAAGAATCATCAGGTACAACACTTAAAGATAGTCATAGGGTATAATAAGCAATCAAATCATACTAGGAAAGTCAAAATAAATCATAAGGATACAAGCGACAAAGTTACAGTCATACAGTCACAAGTGGGAGGGGATGGGTGATAAGGAGTGATGAGAAGATTGATAGTAATAGTAATGCAGACTTTGTAAATAGTTGGATAGTGTTGAGGGAATTATTTGTTTAGCAGAGGGATGGCGTTTGGGGAAAAACTCCCCTTGTGTCTAGTTGTTCTGGTGTGCAGCGCTCTATAACGTCGTTTTGAGGGAAGGAGTTGACACAGTTTATGTCTGGGATGTGAGGGGTCTGTAGATATTTTCACAGCCCTCTTTTTGACTCGGTGCAGGATCCAGGTCCTCCATGGAAGGCAGGTTGATAGCCATGGTTTTTTCTGCAGTCCCAATTACTCTCTGGAGTCTGTGTCTGTCCTGTTGGGTTGAAGAACTGAACCAGACAGTTATAGAGGTGCAGATGACAGACTCAATCATTCCTTAGGATCGATTTTCACAGTCTTTACAGCATTCCCAGGGTCACATGATCAAAATTCACACGCTGGACGACTGGTTCATACTTTTGACCGTTGCTGTGTCTAGTCCAGGTTTTAGGATGTTTTTGCTTCCAGGAAGCTTCCCTGGGGCCCAGGAAGGCAAAAAATGCAGCTGGGGGGGGGGGGCACCTTGCCTGGCCACTGGGCTGCTTCTTTCCGCTTCCTTCTTCTTGTTCTTTTGGCTGCATGCAAGGAAAGCAGCCAAAGTCCTTCTTTCTCTCCCCCAAACTCCACCAGAAATGAGTCTTTGGGACCCTGCAAGGCCTCCTGCTCCAAGAGGCTGCGTCGGCAAAGACTCATTTCTGGCGGAGTTTGAGGAGAAAGAAAGAAAGACTTCTGCGGCTCCTGCTGCTTTCCTTGCATGGAGCCAAAAGTCTCTCTCTCTCTCTCTCTCTTTTCCCCTGTGTAGGTCGTTCTTTATGGTATCCTGCGATCCCAAATAAAGAACGATCGATAGGTAGGAAAAACTGGGTGGCGAATTTCCCTGCAGACTTTTTGCGGGATTTTCCCAGGGTCTCTGCTCCGCGGGATTTAAAATTATCAATTTGGTGGTTCCCCGAGGTCCAAAAGGTTTGGGGACCCCCTGGTTTAGACCGCAAGGGAACTGGGCCTGCCTCGAACGAATGGGCAATTTTTTTTCCCTCCGTTGCTGGAGAGTCCTGGGAAGGTGTGATTTTCCTCACCCTTCCAGATTACATTGAAGGGAAGAAACAAAAGCTTTTAATGGGGTGGACTGGCACTCTGCCCACTTCCAAAGTTGCGGCAGGCTGGTTTATTAATCGGATACCCAGGTAGCTCAGTTGGCTGTGTAAAGCTGTTTTCCTGGTGCCAGGAACTCCACCTGCAGGCTGCCTGCTTGATGGACAGAGGTGAGAATTGATGTTATCTCAAACAGGGCCAGTCTTGCTGGGTGGCCTGTCTCTCTTCTTCTTGGTCTCAGTCCCCGCTCAATTAAAACTGAGGGGCAAACATTTGAAGTGGGCTTGGCCGGTTTGCCTTTGTCCAAAATTGCAAGTAATTTACAAGAATGGCAGAGTTAGAAGCAAACTTGGAGGCCTTCCAATCCAACCGCCTTCTCAGGCAGCCATTGGCTATCCAATCTTGAAAACCTCCCGTGTTGGAACAGCCACAGCTTCTATAGGGAAGCCGTTCCACTGGTTCATTGTTCTCACATTTAGGAAGTTTCTCCTAAGATATTGGAGGTGGTGACCCTTTGAGAGCTGTGATGCAACGGAATTTCATTTTAATGTATGCCGATTAGTGTACATTCAAAGAGACAATAAAGTTATTCTTTCTTTCTGCCTGCCTGCCTGCCTGTCTATTGGTCCATCCATCCATCCATCCATCCATCCATCCATCCATCCCATCCTATCCCATCTCATCTCATCGTCTCATCTAGAGTATCCGGATAGATAAATAGACAGACAGACAAACAGACAGACAGACAGACAGATAGATATAGATGATAGATAGATAGATAGATAGATAGATAGATAGATAGATAGATAGATAGATAGATAGATAGATAGATAGATAGATACAATGAGAAAGATGAAAGAGATACAATGAGAAAGAGAGATGATAGATAGATTTGATAGATACAATGAAAAGAGATGATAGATAGAGATAAATACAGAACTATCTATCTGTATCATCTCTGTCTCTGTTGTGGTTCGCCGGCAGCAATCAGGAAGACATTCCCGAGAAGCCTGTGCTGGGTGTGAGTGAGAGCAGGATGATTCATGGAAGAGCAGCACAGGTAACTTGGGAGTAAGAATGCTAATTAACAGCTCCTCCCTCTAGGGAATATAAGCCTGGTTTCAAATGGCTTTTGCCTTTGCAAAAGGCAAAAGTTCGAAGGAGTTAGTGTGATGATTACAAACTCTGATTTATTGGACTAATTGGCTGCAAGCCATCTGTTATCTACAAAGAGGGTTATTTGTGGAATAAAGCCGTGAACGTTTCAGTTTTGGAGTTTATCCGTGTTTGCTTTTGGAAACTTCGGCTGGGTCAGAACACTCATCTATCTATCTCGTCTAGACAGATGAAACATGAGATAGATCTATATATAATCTAGATAGATAGATAGTCTAGACTCTAGATTATCTGGACAGACAGACAGATATATGTATATGTATATGTATATGTATATGTATATGTATATATATATATGTATCATCTCTGTCTCATGTCTAAACTAAATAGATAGATTAGATAGATAGATAGATAGATAGATAGATAGATAGATAGATAGATAGATAGATAGATATAGATAGATAGATAGATATAGATAGATATCAATCTATCTAATCTACATCTCGGTTGCTTCTCTCCTTGATTAGTTTCCATCTGTTGCTTCTTGTCCTGCCTTCAGGTGCTTTGGAGAATAGCTTGACTCCATCTTCTTTGTGGCAGCCACTCAGATATCGGAACACTGCTGTCACATTACCTGTAGTCCTTCTTTTCTCTAGACTAGCCAAACCCAGTTCCTGCAACTGTTCTTTATATGTTTTATCTTCCAGTCCCCTAATCCAGTGGTCGCCAACCAGCGGGCCGGGTACCACTGGTGGTCTGTGAGAAAATTTTGGTGGTCCGCAATGTCATCCCCAAAGCAATTAATCCAGGCTGCGCGGGAACATGAGGCTGTGCCGCCCACATGGCCTGCAGGAACACAAGGCTTGTATTGCTTGCATTGTGAACAACACGAGGCAGTGAGGGGAGGGGGGAAAGGGTGGAGGGGGGAGCTTGCCCCACACGCCTGGCCTGGCCATCGGGCTGCTTCTTTCTGCTTCTTTCTTCTTCTGCTTCTGGCTGCACGCAAGGAAAGCAGCAAAAGTCTTTCTTTCTCTCCCCCAAACTCCGCCAGAAATGAGTCTTTGGGACCCTGCAAGGCCTCCTGCTCCAAGAGGCTGCGCTGGCAAAGACTCCTTTCTGGCGGAATTTGGGGGAGAAAAAGGAAGGCTTCTGCGGCTTCTGCTGCTTTCTTTGCATGAAGCCCAAAGTCTCTCCCTCTCTCTCCCCCTGAGAATGGAGCTGGGGACGGTATCCTGCAATCCCAAATAAAGAACGATCGATCGGTAGGAAATACGGGGTGCAGACTTTTTGGGGGGAATTTTCCGAGGGTCTCTGGTCCGCGGGATTTAAAAATGATGACTTTGGTGGTCCCTGAGGTCCAAAAGGTTGGCGACCCCCCTGCCCTCTTCCTCTTCGTTGCTCTTCTCTGCACTCTTTCCAGCGTCTCAACCTCAACCTATCGATAACGGTGCACATGGAGGCTGAAGATCAGATGTTGAGTTTTAAAGAGTGACTCCTTCCAGAACTCCGTCAGTAAATGCTTAAAAAAAACAACAACCCACTTGCCCTGTACAAACCCTCCTGCTGACCCCTCTCTCTTTCTTTCCTCAGGATAAAGCAGCTCTGGACAAAAGGATTGCCTATTTCAAAACCTACCTGGAGACCAAAGGGGCCGCTTTGAGCCAGACCACGGAATTCCTGCCTTTTTACGCCCTGCCTTTTGTGCCCAACCCAATGATCCACCCGTCTTTCAAAGAGCTTTTCCAGGTACGTCCTTGGTTTGACTAGGAACAGCGGCTCCTCGGTCCGGAGCAAGGGATGCAACGTAACACGCTTAGCCTAGGCCAGGCCGAACGCCGGTAGTCATCAACTTACAACCGTTCATTTAGCGAACCCTGACACCGCATCTGTTAGTTAATGAAAGAAAACCCGTTGAAATAAATAAGCTTAAAATAAGCCTGTCTTCAAAGTCCATGATTGTATTTAACTCACAGAAACTCCGCCGAGGTCTTCCGGCGCATTATAAAATTCCCCTGAATATTCTCTCGGAGCCAATGCCCTTCGTTTCGCAGAGTTTCAGTGAGTTGGCAGAGATGGCGGAAGTCACGAGCTCTGGATGTTCGGTAAGAATTCTCACCGGTGGGTGTGTTTTTGTTTTCCAGGATTCTTGGGAATTTGATTTAAAAACGAGGCTGGAAGAATTCCTGTCTGCAACGCTCAAGGCCAGCGACAGCCCGAGGCTTCTGACCTTATATGTATCCTCTAGAGAACGACTCTTTTTTTCAGACTGGAAAACTTCCAGTTGAGATAACGGGATGTTATTTTATGATATAAAGTAGAGAAAATATATTTTCTCAGGCTGAGAATAATGAGAGCCTTTAGCGGCCTCTAGTGGCGTTTCTAAATCTTATTTATTTTATTTGTCAATCGCTTATAAGATAATAGATATAAGTATAAACATGAGTCAGAATACAGGAAATAGGTACGAATAAATGGGGACAATAGGACAGGGACGGTAGGCACGATGGTGCACTTATGCAGACCCCTTACAGACCTCTTAGAAATGGGCATTCTCTCCCTTTCCTTTCCTTTCCTTTCCTTTCCTTTCCTTTCCTTTCCTTTCCTTTCCTTTCCTTTCCTTTCCTTTCCTTTCCCTTCCTTTCCTTTCCTTTCCTTCCTTCCTCCCGTTCCCTCCCTTTTTTCTCTCCTCTCTCCATTTTCTCTTCCTTCCTTCTTTCCTTCCTTCCTTCCCTTCCCTTCCTTATTTTATTTTTTTATTTGATTTATTTATTTGATTTGTCAATCACTTACAAGATAATAGGTATAAGAATAAACATGAGTCAGAATACAGAAAATAGATACGATATAAATGGGGACAATAGGACAGGGACAGGAGGTACGATAGTGCACTTATGCACACCCCTTACAGACCTCTTAGAAATGGGGTGAGGTCAATAGTGGTTAGTTTGCGGTTAAAAAAGTGGAGGGTTTGAGGATGTAACAATAGAGTCAGGTAGTGCATTCCAGGCATTGACCATTCTGTTGCTGAAGTCGTAATTTCTGCAATCAAGTTTGGAGTGGTTTACCCTGAGTTTGTATCTGTTGTGTGCTCTTGTATTGTTGTGGTTGAAGTTGACTGGTAGGACATTGTAGCAGATAATTTTGTATTCTATGCTTAAGTCCAACCGTAGGTGGTGTAGTTCAAGGTTGTCCAAAATTTCAAGCCTGGTGAGATAGGGTATTCTGTTGCGAGCGGAGGAGTGGAGGACTCTTCTCATGAAATACTTCTGGACTCATTCAATTGTATTAATATCCGATATACAGTGCAGATTCCAGACAGATGAGCTATATTCGAGTATTGGTCTAGCAATAGTCTTGCATGAGAAGCAGCACACGCTCAAAATACCCAGTTCGATTCACTGCGATACCATTTTTTAATTGCTCCCGTTGAAAGAAGTGGGTCCATCTGGGTTCAGTTGCAAGTGGGGAAGAAAGACACTGGAAACATGGAGGCTGCTTGGAAAGCTGGTTTTAATGGTGGACAGGACCCCATTGAGGTCCTGGGCAAAATGGAGCCCATGGGTGCTCTGTTGGGCTTTGAACTTGCTTCCTGTTCCCATAGCAAGAAATATAACCTGATTGGTTGTCAGATTCCCATGGGGCCATGCATGGCTAACATGGTAGGTTGTCTTGAGTCCCAGGCTTGGTTGAAATCTTGCTGGGCGATGTAATCTTCCTAGGTGCCATGTGGTAAGATGGGTAGAGGGCTAATCCTATCATGTCCTGAGGGACAGGAGCCTTTGCAGGAAGCAACTTTGTTCGTACTGGTCGGTTTGAAACCTGAAGCTCCGTGCTGAATTTGTGCTCCAGTTGGCCTTGTATAACTAATTGGAAATTTAGTCGTCATCTTCATCCCATCATCCTGGAGCTGAAGGTCTTTTATGTTGTAGATAAGATTGTCTTTCTGGGGCTATTAACAAGGGAGGGGGGCACTTTCCAACAGCATATTTCTCCTTTCTCATCCAGGAGGGTATAATATTCTGCCTTTTAATATTCCCTAGAATATTTCATTCTTCTAGGAGAGGGGTGGGTACTAACTTTCTACACTACATTTTTATCAACTGGCTAATGAATGTAATAATTATACATTGAAGGCTGATGATTAGATGGTGATTCCAAGATAGTGCTTGGTATTCTCTTTAAGACGTACGTTACCGATCCTTAATCCAAAGAGTGAGGGAAAGAAAGCAGTTTGTAAGAAGCAACATTTGGGAATAGATACCTCACTTTTTCCCTGTTTGCTGATTCAACCTATTCCTTTTCCACCAAAGTACAAGTCTTTTTATCTGATAGAAGATAATTTTTGTAGCTGAGGGCTGAACAGTGAACTCCTTTGTCCTCTTTGAGCTTGGGGGTTTTCTTGCAGATGTTTCATGGCCCAACTGTTCTGACCAAGGCTTATTAAGACACTAATAAACACACGTTAGTCCCCAAACCCTTTTTTTCCTTTATTTTAACAGCTGTGAATTTTAGTCATTCACAGCCCGTAATGAGTCTCAGTTTGTAATATCCCATGGAAGTCTGCCAAAGTCCTTCAGGATAAGTCTGATAAGCACGCACCTTTATCTTCCTTGAAATGCTGCTGACGACTAAATTTCCAATTAGTTATACAAGGCCAACTGGAGCACAAATTCAGCACGGAGCTTCAGGTTTCAAACCGACCAGTACGAACAAAGTTGCTTCCTGCAAAGGCCCCTGTCCCTTTGCTCCTCCTTTAAGTCTTACGGGAGGGCCAATCACCTCTAAGCCTTACTCCCGAGTCGCCCCCTTTTGTCTCAGCTGCTCTCGCCTTCTGGCAGCTCTGCGCAAGCGCGCACTGGGAACAGGCTCCCGCGGTTCCTCTGCCTTGCTGCTGCCAGATTCTGGAGGCTCCGGAGTCAACACATAGCTCCCAGATGGCCGTGGCCCCATCTCTGTATCGGACGCAGGACCCTCATCCGAGTCCTCCCCAGATTCCCAGACTGGCCCATGTTCCTCCACACTGTCTGACTCTGCTGCCGCCTCTGCAGGCTGCTGGCAGACCACAACACCAACTAGGGAACATCATAAGTGCTAGAAAGGGAGGAGGGTTTGTGAAGAGGAGGAGGAAGAGGACTGTGGGGTTCCTGGTGGGCTCAGGAATTCTGGGAGTTGAAGTCCACAGGTCAGGAAAGGGGCCACAGCTGCCCATCCCTGCTCAACAAACAGCCGTGTGACGATCCTTCATCAAAAGCCCATTTTCCTTAGCTCTCTTCCTCTCCCAACACAGAAAGAAAACACGCAGTGCAGCCAAGGTAAATCTGTACTAACTTGACGAAGAATTTGGGGACTTCTCAGCTATCCGTCGCACAGGCAGCCCTCAACCTACGACCACCATTGAGCCCCAAATTTAGGGGGCTATGTGAGAAATGCCTTAAGTGAACGTTTTGCCTCCTTTTAAGGACTTTTCTCAGCAATGTTTGTTCAGGGAATCGCTGCTGTTCTGAAATGAGTGACTTCCCCATTGGCTTGGCTTGTCAGATGGTCGCCAGAGGGGATCAGGGACTCCCAACAGTCATAAATGTGAGTCAGTTGTCATCCGTCTTTTCAGAGCGTTTGGCAGCGTGACTACCTTTATGAGATAACCCAGGAGCAACACACCACACACACAGACTTAGGCATTAACAGCGATTTAATATACAACAGGTATATACAGTTAATATACACGCGGTGGCAGAATACCTTTACAAGCAAGCTTTCCTTCCTCCTAACACACGGAGAGCTTCCGCACTGAACACGGGTCACAAGGAAAGAGAACCACGGCCTCGAATGGCTGCCTTTTATAGACATACCTCTTAAAGGGAACTTTACTCTCCAGCCTTAAAGGGAAATACCCATACCCTGCTGAATCACCCTTGTTACATCAGCCAGACTTACATCAGCTTCACAGCATCGTGCAGCTACTCACCACTGGTCAATTTCTAAATCTTAATACCTTAACACGTCTGAATATAAATCATGTGACCATGGGGAGGCCACCATGGTCATAAGTGTGGAAAAACGGTCCCTGTGAACCCGTTGTAAGTCGAGGACTACCTGTAGCTCTCCAGATGATAGAGTATATAGGAGGTCCTCGATTTACAACCATAATGGAGCCTTTCCATCACGATCATAAACCATGATGGCCGTAAAATGGGTCAGTAATGTGACTGACCTCATTTTACAACCTCTGTGTGTATGTGTGGGTATGCGCGCACACACACACACAAAACGGTCGTTAAGTGGCACCAACTTCCGATTCTGTTTTGGTAAACTAAGACAGTTTAGTTTATTGTCGTTGCAGCTCGTACAACGAAATCAAACACCATCTTCAGTGCACATCATGACCATGAAAATAAACACAAACACACATCCTTCACCCTCCACACATTGAACCGAAAACTCCCGACAACACACCAACACTGCACTATGCAGCAGAATTCAACAGAGCTCCTGCCCTGGGATAGGAGCTGTTTTCCAGCCTATTTGTCCTGGTTTTTATTATTATCCTGTACCGTCTGCCAGATGGTAATAGTTAAAAAAAAAAAGGGTGCCCAGGATGAGATGGATCTTTGAGGATGTTTTGAACTTTCTTAAGGCAGCAGGAGCTCTAAAGCTCTTCCAAAGAGGGGAGAGGGCAACCCGTGATCCTCTGGGCAATGACGTTAACCCTCTGGAGCGCTTTCCTATCTGTGCAATTGGCAAACCATACAGAGGTGCAGTAAGTTGAGATACTCTCCATGGTGCAGCGGTAGAAGGTCTCCAGCAGTTTTCCATCCAGTTGTTTGTTTCCTGAGAAGCCTCAGGTGGTATAATCTCTGCTGGGCCCTTTTGACCAGGGCTGCAATTTGAGCACCCCCAGGTCAGGTCCTCTTTTAAGGTAACACCCAGAAACTTGAAATTGGCCACTTGCTTCTCTCGGTCTCCCTTGATAAGCGAGGTCTGGAGGTCTGATCTGTTCCTTCTATATAGTCCACTATAAGCTCCTTGGACTTATTGGTGTTGAGGACCAGGTTATTGTCTCCACACCATGAAAGCAACCGTTGGTCCACCTCATCTCGGTAGGCAGACACACACACACACACACACACACACACACACACCGGAGATGAGGCTTATTGTTATAGAAATGGCTTGTACATGCTGTTGTGTCAAAGCAAAAAGTTGTGATTGTAATGTTACTTTCTACTGTGCTAAAGAGAGTAGGAAGTTGGCAGCGATTGTTAAGTGAACACTGTGGTTGTGATACGAATCAAAGATTTGCTGTGGGTGCAGTTATGCTCCAAAACAGAAATATAGCCCTTGACTTCGTTTAGTGACCGCTCAGAATTACAACATCACTGAAAAAGGGGACTGATGGCTTTGTTCACACATAACGGCCGTTGAAGCATTTCTCCAGGGTCACAGGATCAAAATTCAGACACTTGGCCACTGATTCCCTTTTGCGACCTTCTGACAAGCAAAGCCAATGGGGAAGCCAGATTCATTAACAACAGAGTTACTCACTGAAGAACTGCAATGATTCACTTAACAAACATGGCCAGAATGGGTTGTAAAGCGGGGCAAAACTCACTTGAAAAGTATCTTGCTTAGCAACAGAAATCTTGGGCTTCATTTTGGTCATAAGTCACGGACTCTCCATAGAGAGTCTCCCGCAGACTCCATTTTCGCTGGCAGACGGCTATCAAAACAAACTAAAAACAAAACCAAAGGGAGAAATGTTTCCCCTTTTGCATTTGAGCTTGCAAGAAGGGGCAGGAAAGGAGGAAGGGGAAGAGGAAAGATGGGAAGAGGGGAAGAGAGCAAGGAAGGAAAAATAAAAAAAAGAGGGTAAGGAAGAAGAAAGGAGAAGAGGGAAGGAAAAAGGGAGGAAGGGAGGAGAGAGGGAGGAAGGAAGAGAAGGAAGGAAGAAAGGTAGGAAGGAAGGAAGAAAGGAAAGAAGGAAGGAAGGAAGGAAGGAAGGAAGGAAGGAAAAGTAGGAAAGGAAGGGAAGAAAGGAAGGAAGGGAAGGAAGCAAAGGAAAAGGGAAGGAAGGAAGGAAAGGAAGGAAGGAAGGAAGAGTAGGAAAGGAAGGGAAGAAAGGAAAGAAGGGAAGGAAGCAAAGGAAAAGGGAAGGAAGGAAGGAAAGGAAGGAAGGAAGAGAGAGAAGGAAGGAAGGAAGGAAGAAAGGAGATTATAATGAGAGTGAGGGAGGGTCTGAGCAAAGTCCTGCCTTAGCACTTGGGCACCACAGGTACCCCGACACGAGTGATGTCGAGCTGGCCGCACCCAGTATGACCAGCCCCCCCCCGGAACCCCTTGAGGTCAAATGCAATCCTGATGCGGCCGTCAATGAAGTCGAGTTTTATAACCCCCCCTGCTCTATAAATAATACTACTACCTGACATCCATATATCATGGTACTTTTTTTTAAAAAAAAATTAATTTTGCAAAAAAAAATTGAGATCATCAGCCTCTCTAGATTCCAACAAAAGTCTTTGTTGCTAAGGTTTATTTTTTTGATCTAACTTTAAACCACAGAGAAAAACAGAGTTTTTGGAACACACCGGGAACTATTCGGCAGCAGCAGTTCTTATTATATCACTACAACTGTGTGTGTGTGTGTCTCTCTCTCTCTTTTTTTTTTTTCTTCTTTTGCTCCTTCCTCCCACACTTTGCAGAAACGTTGCAGCAGCTCCACCAACAGCTGGTAGAATCCGAACGCAAAACCATGACCTACCTCAAGCGTTTCAACAAAATTCAGGCCGATTATCACAACCTCATTGGCGTCACGGCTGAGCTGGTGGATTCTCTGGAGGCCACTGTGAATGGCAAGATGGTAAGGGCATCCCTGGAGCAGGAACGGGGTGTCTCGGGCCCGTGGAGGTCAAAAAAGTCAAGAGCCAAAGCCCCATCCCTTTTTTTTGCACGGTCGCATGTCAACCCTGAAGCTGACCTGACCGAAGCCATTTTGGACGCTTCAGTGTTGCCACACTGAAGCTGAGGGGTAGGGAGGGGGGGATTTGAGATAGTTGAGACTTTGTAGTCAAAACAAAATACTTTCTCTTGGGAACCAAGGACACTCTCATCCTGATCGGAGGGAGGAGAAGTGGTGTTACCAGACTGTTCTGATCCAGCTCCCCAAACATGTCCTCTGAACTCAAAAGATTCCTTTATTAGGAGCGTCCCGGCAAAAAGTTTCTCTCTCAACACAGGCTTACAAATCCATCCGGGAGATGAATAGTTGTGTGCCACACCTATTCATCTCCACCCCCTGCCTTTTATCTCCAGAGCCAGGGTAGGGCTTTGCTAGCAGCGGTGGCTCTTCCGTCCCGAGGACCGGCCCATAGATCTCCACTGCTCTCCTCTCCTCTGCCTTCTACGCATCCGCATATCAGGCACTGGACCCAGCTGTTCCTCCTCTTCCTCATCAGCCACCTCCAGACTATTGACTCTCCATCTGAGGGCTGATGGACGGCCCAGGCTGCCTCTCTCTCTCTAGCTTTTTTTTTTTTTACTACTGGCTTGGCCGAGTTGGTTTTCATCAGATCTGTGCAATGGTCGAAAATGTGAAAAAATGTCATGTCACTTTTTTCTGTACCATTGTAACTCCAAGCAGTCACTAAATGAAAGGACTAGCTGTAATTTATTTTATACTCCTGCAGGGAAGGTAACAAGTGCACTAATATATATATATATATATATATATATATATATATATATATATATAT